GAGTTTTTAGCAAAAGTTTTGTGCAGATTGAGCGGCAGTACAGGAACTTTTCCTCAAGTCTTTTCACAAAATGATTAACGGTGATTGGCGACAGACGTGGCTGTGGCTCAGTGGGTGGTGCTGTTGTCCTTCACCCGTGGTGATGTGGGATTGAATCCAGACTCGTTGGGGTGTATGTCACTCAGAGGAAGATGGCAACCCTGTAGTGAGACGCACCTGGAGTGGTCGTCACTACAGAGAGTGCACACATGTCAAACTCAGGCCCGGGGGTTCAAATCTGGCCCGCAGTGTAATTATATTTGGCCCACAAGATCATATCAGATGTGTACTAGAGTTGGCCCAGCATTATATAGGCACTATATGAAAACAATCTGCATTACAGATCTGGAGAGAAGGGAAAAGATGAACAATTGCAGTGAATTATTTAATAAATATTGAGTTTGGCCCAGTGTGAATTTGAGTTTGACACACCTGATATACGGAATGAAACAGGAAGTGTTGATCAGGCTGACTCTTTTACTTCCTATATCTTACGCACAAAAACCCTGCTACTTCAAAATCCTTGTTAAGGTTTTATTTTAATGTATTTAATTTCCATGTGATCTTCTTCCCCACAGGCAACTACAAGAACCACAAGCTGACACACAGCGGAGAGAAGCAGTTCAAGTGTTCCATCTGCAGCAAGGCGTTCCACCAGGTGTACAACCTCACCTTCCACATGCACACGCACAACGACAAGAAGCCCTTCACCTGCCCCACCTGTGGGAAAGGCTTCTGCAGGAACTTTGACCTGAAGAAACACGTGAGGAAGCTGCACGACCCGGCCAGCCCCCAGTCCCCGCTGCAGACCTGAGAGACTCTGGACTCAGAACCCCGCGTCCTTCCACCTCTCAGCCAAAAAACTGAATAAAGAAAAAAGAGAAAAAAACGTCCGTCGACAGGTCAGGAACTCAGCTCCGGTCCCTTCACGAACACTTCCCCTCGTCTCCCTGCTTTATTATTTCTCCCTTTAACGTATTTATTTGGAATCTGCAGTTACTTAAAGCCAGTTAACCACGTCATTAACTTTTACTTTTCTCCAAATGGAGTTTTGAAATTCCTGAATTCCTGAAACATTTCACTTCATTAACCCAGAAATACTCAGTGGATTCAGTATGAAGTTTTATTCCTTCTGGTCAATAATATTCCACCCACACGCCCTGATTTGACCCCAGACTTCAATCATTTGCCACCATGGAATTTCATAGCCTGATGATGTTCATTCTCTCAATATTAAATATGAGTTTTTATATTGAAAAATTCACCATAAATAACGAACCATTTCTCATTTCTCCTGTGAACCTGTTTCAAATGTGGACTCATTCGCTGTAAGACATTAACCAGTGATTTATTCAGTATTTCTTGTTTAATTTAACAACAAATCCGTCAGCTTGAAATCTTTTTAGAAGATGCACAAATATTTGCCTGGTTATTTCTGTCGTCTCCACACGTCAGGTGGAAAAAAACCTTTAGTTTAACAAACTGATTTTTGTTAAAGACAGATGTGTAAAAGTCACTGAAACATTTTTTTAAAATGAACTTGGATTAACCAATGATGGGCTTTTGACACAACGTTATTAAAAAACACAGGGTTTGCTTTAGATCAATTTATTACAATTTTAAAGTTCAAATCTCCCTTTTTTACATGGATTTTAAAATAATTTAGTATTTTATAATAATTGATGTTAAAAGTAAAAGTAAAGTGGTAGAAGCCACCAATGAACCAAACAGTATAGTAAATACAAACCAAATATAAATTAATATATGGCCAAAAAACAACAAAACAAAAGTTCCCTTAAAAATAATAATAATTTAAAAATGACCTTTGACCCTTGAGTCTGGTAAAATAAATTATTTTGTCAATATAACGTGCAGTTTCCATAATCTCACATGACACTTAATAAGTCAACGTTTGTCCTCACATCTTGACCCCAGACTTCATCCTGATCTTGAACTTGACCTTTTCAACAAGAAGATGGGAAAAAAAGAGAAAAAAAAAGGGAAGGGCGGGGGGGCACTTTACATCCTAATCCCTTGAGTCCCTCACGGCCTGACCTGACCTGACCTTTCACCCCTGACTGCATAACCCTCTCACCCACTCCTGACCTGGACCCTGACTGAAGAGGACTTGTGTTTGTCTGTGTTGAGACAGACAGGGACGTGTTTTAGTGGAAGAACTTGAACTTTCCCTCCAAACGCCACTGATTCCTGCTCAATGTATTACAACGGTGACTCACCGTGAGGCCGTTCGTTGTCAGTGGTTGCTTTTTTTTTTTTTTTGCATCTCAGGACATGGGACTCAATTTTGGGACCAGACTTTGAAGGAGGCGGAAACCCGTGGGACGGCTCCGACTTCATGGACAGTCACAGGATTTATCGTCAAATCAATCGTTTTAAACAAACAAAGAAAACCCACATGGTCCAATCGTCCTGTTGCTGTTTTCCAGAAACTATTAAAAACACAGCAGTGAGGAACACGGTTGCCCTGAGTCACATGTGTCTTCCTTACTGTGAACACACTCTGATTCCACACACCCTGATGAAAGACCATCGAAAAATCTTGTCACAGTCAAACCAGAGTCAAACTAATTAAATCAATCAGTATCAGTCTGTGACAGGTGTCATATCATCGTTGACCACATGGCTCTGATTAGTGTTGTTCCTTAACCAATTTAAAAAAACTGGGTTAAAGATCATGTATAAGAAGTGGACGTTGTAACTCTGTGTTGGAATGTGGAAACATGAGGCCACTTTTGAATCGAGGGTCAACGATCTGTGGTGGGAGGTCATACAAATGTGAATTTAAAATCACTCCAAAGGTCACCCCTTGTGAACAGAGCAGATTTCACGCTGCCCCCGACCCACACCTCCAAAAATTGAAATACTATTGAGAACCTGATAATGATGTATATTTTTATTTGTACAAACCACTGTATGAGTTGCTGCCACCTAGTGACTGGAGGCTTGTTATCATTCAAGCATTACAGCAGTGGTACACTTATGTCCAGTGATATGTCGTGCCATATACCATTGGACCATTGGAAGCCCCTCACCGTGCCCCTCAGGGGCACCCGCCCCACTATTTGAGAAGTACTGCATTGAACCATTCCAGCTCCAACAGCGTCAACAACATAATTGTACCAAACGTGGCCACTTGTTACTGTCGCTGTGATAATAATGGAAGACAGAGCAGCTGAACCGTGGAGCTGGGATCTGATTGGATTTCACATTCTTTTTGTGATTCATTAATTTATGATGCATTTAAAACAAGTGTGTGTGTGTGTGTCGGCGTGTGTGTGTTTTTGCGTCACTACTAGCAAACTGTCCAGTGTGAACCCCAGTCTTGTCTGTTGACATTTGTTCAAAGTGCCCTGCACTCTTGTTGGTTAATTGGTTACTGAACTGCTGGCAAAAATTGGTACTGCACCCAAAACATTGCATATGCTTCAAAAGACTGAGGTTGTCCATCCTTTACATACAATCCATGTATATTATTATCATTATTATTGTTATCAATAATAACAATTATTATTGTTATAAATAATAATCGTGTTAATAACAACAATATTATTAAAACATCCAACACACCCTGTCATACATGTCCATTTCCTACATATGGTTTGGGTAAGAAACACAATACAGTTATGACCATTTGATGTCATTTTTTCTAAACATGTTGGTGATGAACTTGTATGAAGTATTTACATCTGTTTTCAGATGGTAGGTTCAATGACACATTAATACTGTAACACCATACTATTGGAGGTGGGATTGACAACAAGGGAATCTAATAACAGCTTTGATTACTGTATACTGTCGTCTGTATTCTGGTTGCTTGCAAACCTGTCCATTAATCATGGCCTCCATGACAATGTAAAACAAAGAAAACTAGTCATCATTCATATGTTGGACCTCCATTTCTTGCCTGAAATGATAGATCAGTAATTGAATCTGGTCAGGTTGACCTCCATTTCTTGCCTGAAATGATAGGAGATCAGTAATTGAATCTGGTCAGGTCTGGCTGCACAGCTAGTTGTGTTTTATTCAATCTTTCGGTTGTGCTGTAGGAGTGTTTATTGTATTTATTTTCCTTTGTTTTTATGTCAAAACATGAAAGACAAACACTGAACAGAAAACTGTGGTAAAAAAAGAGAAATGTCTCATCGTGTTGTTTTCACTGGTCGGCTCCTGCTGCTAATGCCAACAAAGCAACCAATCACATTTGTGAAACACATTTCTGAAGTATTTCATTGTAAATATTATTAAAACAGCAAAAGGTCAATTTATCCCAAATGACAATTTAAGACAATAAAAGTACTTTTATAAATAAACAGATGATCTATCTTTGAAGAGTTTCATCGAATATATCAGATTCATCAAAAGCCCCCAAAGGCCCATAATTCATTGCTACAGGGAGGTTTAATATCATACATACAGCACGTGATGTTGTCTTTTGTTTGATAATTGATACACACCACAACCATCAAATTCAAACTCGGTGGTAATTTGTTCTAGAACTTTTAAAGCTATTTTCCCCCTGTTTTTCTTTGGTATCAAATGTTCTTTGCATCGTTTGAGTTGCACTGCTGCCACCAACTGGTAGACAAT